TACTTTTTTTAGCTGATATAATAAAAATCTGATGTGTATCTAGTTATTACAGGCTTTTTCTGGTTATTTTGTACAACTTATTGCAGCATCTCTATAAATGTTTAGAGGAGGATAAACTAAATAGGTATATACATTTTCCACATACATCTACCTCGAAACATTTTTCTATAGATATTCATTGAAAACGAAAATACTGAAAAATTTTAATTTAACACTTTTTCTACAATTTTTCCATTACGGTCCATTTTAGAAAAATCATGTATAAACAAAAATTATAGAGATCGATATCGCAAACAACTTTTATTTCAACAATTTTCATAAAAATCAGAATTTTGCACATTTTGTCAAATTTCTCGAATACGGACCATTTCAGAAAATTTTTACATAGAACAAAAATTATAGATAATATTATTAGAAGTAACTTTTATTTAAACAATTTTCTTCTCCAAACATAAATAACAGATATATTTCATAAAATATAAAAACGGCCTCCCATAAAGTACCCCCCAGATGTTCTGACTTTGTCCAAAATCTAATAATTTCACGTCAGGCCGAAATAAAACTTAAGTTTAAAATTTAATGTTTTTTCTTTATCCGTTTTTGAGTTTTCTTCAAATTTCGAAATTTACACATTTTCTCAAATATCTCGAATACGGTCCATTTTAGAGAAATTATATATGGAATAAAAATTATAGAGAATTATATTACAAACAACTTTTGTTTGAACAATTTTTTTACATTTTGTCAAATTTATACTAAGTTATAAAATAAAGTGTTTATTTGGTTAGTTAATTTGTATATTATCCATCTATTCTATAAAATAGCCAAGTAAATACTAACTGTATATATTTTTCAGTAACTGAAATTTATTAATGATTAAAATATTATTTTTTAGGAAATCTATTCGATAACTTATTGAACTGATAAATCTTGTTAAACGTTTTAGAAACCATTTTTCTTTAGTTGTTCCTTTGTTAAGGCTATCGAACACATATCTACTGGAGTGCGTTTAGAAACCACGCACGGCGCGTCTGGGCCCTATTATAATGTATGTGGTAAGACGCGCCGTGCGAGGTTTCTAAACGCACTCCTGTTTAAGAAACCGGCCACGTCTAAAGTTAAATTTGTATACTTTGCTATTGACTATTTTAAAACAAATCAGTGTCTTTATCTTTTAAGATGTGCAAACTAAAAATATTTATAAAAAGAGTTTAAAAGATTTATAAGACATTATAAAAACTTAAAAAGTACAAAATTTGGACTTAACCTAGTCTGGCTCTGACACACAGATTCTACTAATATACTTATATAAATTTATCCAGCGTTTGAGAACAAACTTAATATTTATCTATAAACTTATTCACTTACCTATACCAATTTGTTGCTCCAAAATTTAGATTACATAACAGCACAACACGACCGCCGTTGTCAGTAAACAGGTTCGAGTTTCTAAACACGTCGAAAGCTTTTGATGTTACCGCTTCAGAGCGGGACTCGAGGAACAAAACTCCAACTGTCGCAAAACACGCCAGTCTTCAAAAAGTTTGCGAAAAGTTGCAGTTTTGTTTTATTCGACACGAGTTTCTGTTTTGATTTTGTATTTATAAAACAACAAAAAATAACGAAATAAACATTAATGCTACCAAATTCCCATAAAATTTATTTATTATTTATTTAGTACACCACTCAACAGGTAAAAACCAATTACATATATAATGGGAAGAATTCAGAAAAAATACATTTTATTCGTGAGATACGTCGTACACATTTTCAGGAAAAAAATGTTCAGTTACATTTGACAGCCTATATTAGAGCATAAGAGGGAAAGCCCACTCACGCGACTAGTCGCGCGCGACAATACTTTTGATGTTTTTAAATGACTTAGATACTTTATACACATACAAGAGATAATATAAAATACAGTCGGTACCCTACTATTCGCAATAGACGTATTTATTAACTTTACAAGCAAAACTCAATAGCCTCTTTTGCTTCAACTGACTAATTTTGTTGAAACTTGCTAGAATCTTCTTTTGGGCAAGAGCTAATTCTTTATCAAAAAATAACTTTGTTTGAAAGTTTTTCTTAGGGATTGCTTTCCTGAAATTATAATAATGCTTGATTATATGAGAAAATATCTTATTTAACTCTAACAAACCTTTTTTCTTTTGTACGTTCTCTTTCTCCATCGGAAGCAGTTAGTGTGGATGAATGGGAGCTTATAGACGTTGTGGTTTTGAACAATGTTTCGTCTTTTAAAGAGCGTTAAGATTGAAGTTCCCTGTCTTGCAAATTTTCATTTCTTTTCCAACTTCGAAATTCCCAATGTTCGAAACTGAGATAAGGACATATTTTCTTTACTTTCGTTATTTTCAAGCATGTAAACAATATTGTAATAATAGTGCTTACATGTTTACTATTTAACAAAAATAAGGAAATAAGTGTGTTTCGAAAGTCACATATACATGAATATCTAATTACATTACTTCTAGTGTTTAGGTATATGGAAAAAACTTACACATTTCGAAAGCAAGGTACAGGTACAGCTTTTGGTATAGCTCCTTTTATTTATCTATTGCTACCTTTATAATAATGTTCAGTTAAAAAATGGTCTGAACATTGACATAATGTGTTGTTAGACATGCTATTCATGCTCAAACTGAGCACTTGACACCAAGCCAGTTTGGTTGTGAGATCAGTAAAAAATCTAAAATGAGTTAAAACAAAGATTTAAAAATTAATGGCAAATAAATATGTACAGTACAAAAGGTATCTAATCCATTTTACAATATACAAAAAGACTAATAAATTAAGTATTATATCGCAAAGAAAACAATTATTGCGATGATGCTCAAACGAAGAACTTTCTACAAACATATTTTCTTATTAATTTGTCCATTTCCCATTTTAAGTTACGTTTATGGAATATAGAATACTCACTTGTGAAACGTCAACCGGGATCTTTTTAAGAATTTTTTATTGCAAACTATACAAGCTCTCGGCATGATTAGCATTTATTTTAAAATAAAAACACACTTTAAAGGTTTAAAAGAGGCACCTCGTCCAAATTGTCTTCCGTAGCCACAAAAATTGATCTTTTTAAAAACGAAAATAAGACGTCTAATAAAATGTCATTTATCACAAATACGCGCGGTATTAAAATTCGCCAATAACAAAACGTCGTGTACCTAACTCGCCAATAATAAAGCGTCGTGTACCTAACACCGAAGGGGTTACCCCCCTCAGTACATAACAAACTTATTTGAGTAACACCTCTAGTCTTATATGCTCTAAGATTGTAATATTATTGTAAAAGTTGAGTTGAAATAAATTGAGATACCAAAAACCTGCGTAACAATACATTCGGTTTATTCAATTTTTCATTTTGTTATTCTCTTATATACCCAAAGATGAGGAGATGTAACTACTAACACATGTCGTGCGGTCCTGGATAAGACATATTCTAATAGTCCAGGATCCGTAAATAAGGTCGACCTTCACCCATCTGTTTAATGGATAAAAATTTTTTTTTATTAAATAAAATATATTTTTAAATATACCGCAAATAGGTTGCCTAAGAAAATACGGTCACAGTCATTTTTTGCTTTCCTTTCTGTGTACAGACAAGGAAAGTATAGGAATCATGATAAAAGTTGCTTATGATGTCATTCTCTATTATTTTGTCCCTATACATGATTTCCCTAAAATTCGTGATATTTGAGGAAATGTGCAAATTTCGAATTTTGAAGGCAACTCAAAAACGGATAAAGAGAAAAACACCAAATTTTAAACTTAAGCTTTAATCTATCCTGCGGTGAGCTGATTAAAGTTTGGGCATAGTCGAAGCATCTGGGGAATATTTTACAGGGTATCGTTTTTTTTATTTTGAGGAAATAAATAGTCTGGACCGTATTTTCTTAGGCAACCCTTTTGCGGTATATTCATAAACATATTTTTTTAATAAAAAGAAACTTTCATCCATTAAACAGATGGGTGAAGGTCGGCCTTACTTTGGATCTTAGACTATAAGGGAGTCAGGCGGGTATAATATCCGCTGTTGTCATATGCCTATTTCATTATTGTCGTTTTGTTTACAAAATTATTTACATATATTAAAAAAGCTAAAATAATTCAATCTATTTTATTGCAACTGAACCCAAAAAATTTTGAATTATTATTTATATTAAATTTAACTAAATTAGCGGCTTACACATTTATTCATTGATAAAAAAAAGTTGTATCTGCGTAAAATTCTTCTCTTTATCCCTTCTATTACTACTTACCTTTTGTCGCCTCGTCCCGTCCCAACAAATAGTGTGTATCGATTGTCGATTTAATCTTGGCTTCGTGAATATATTTTATCAATAAATGGTTATATCGTTGTATGAAGATTCATACAACGGTTATATCTCTGTTATCTCTGTATATACCTAATAATATACTGCATTTATAATTACAGAGATCTTTCTTAGATCCAAACCCTCTATGTCATTTCTATTGACCTTATGAATTGCCTAAAGAAGATACCTACTTAATTACATCTTAATCATTTAAATTGTTTTCGTTCTTTCCGTTTTATTTCAGTTACTCTCTCAAAGAGGGAACTAGTAGTAATAATTTTCTTACTTTCAATTTTATTTAAACAAAAAACTCTAGCTGGTCTAGCCATTTCGTGTACTTGTTGTCTACGTTTAATTATTAATTGACTAATTTGTTTGAATTCTTTAAAAAAAAAATAAACTTTAACAATAATTTTAGTATATATGATTTATGGAAGTAACTTAATTTTACTAAGTTTCTGGACTATCTATCTGAATTAGGGTGAGGTTGTACTGAATCTCTAGGGTTATTAAATCTCTCTCAATTTATACTGAGTTCAAAAATATGTCGGTTGGACAATTTTGCGATTTCTTTGGGTTTTGAATAGTGTAAAAAAATATGTAAAATGGGTTGCCTACTAGTTAATCATTGATTCACATGGAGTGTGGTGTCGCGAATGGCGACACTGTAAAATTGACATTTGACAGTTTTGACAGTATTGACGTTTGACTTTAACGAATTGAGTTTGTGAGTGATGTTGAAGAGATGTAAATATTTTTATATAAAACATCATTTACATGTTATTTATTTTAATAAGGTAACATTAATACTTCCAATTTTTAACGCTTTCTCTATTATTTAGTTATTAATAAGTTAACAATGTAGCACAACAAATTATCTCTATAAAAAAGTAATAATCTCCAATGCTACCCATAAAGTCACTTGCATTACCTACTTATTTATGATTACATATTAGTTTTTGTTTTATTATTCTGTAGGTGAAATATACTTTTAATGTTTGAAAATGCCTGCTCCAATTCGACCTAAGGGGTCAAACAGTGGCAGCAGAACTCCATCAGTAGCTCCGATGTCCGAGCGGCAGCAAATGGCGTTACTAATGCAGATGACTTCAGGAAACGAGGCAGGCTCCAGAAGCCCTAGTTCTAGCTCTTCACGATCGAGAGAGCGCAACGAAAGAGGTGAAACTCCATTGCATTTAGCTGCTATTAAAGGGGATGTTGAACAAGTGTGTAAATTGCTGGCACACCGTGCCGACCCTAACGTAGCTGATTTTGCTGGTAATTTTCAGTTTACTACTACATTGAAAGATGCTAAATGCAAACTAACTAATATACCAGTGATATTTTGTTTTTATAGTACCCACTATCTAAAAATTTAATGTAAAAACAACTATAAAAAGTAATTATTTATATACATAGATTTGATTATACATTATAATTATAATATAAAATTAATATTCACCTGCATATAATGTTTTCAATAATGTGTAGGCAACTAAGATAAATGCTTATAGGGTAAATATCTAGTTTGAGCCCTAAAACAATCTTTAAAAGACATTTTTACTATTATTTAACTCAATTTTTTTGTATTTTTGTTTAATTAACACGTTAATGTCCCACTACTAATTCTGAAATTTAACCCTTAGATCAGGGTAGTTTTTGAAAAATAATTTAATGAGTTTTTAACAAAAAAAAACATGTGCAAAACAAAAGTAAAATTAAGTTTACTACAGACCATTTGACCCAAATCAGGTCACACCAAAAAACGTTAAAATTGTATTTTATTTCCAAAAATAAACTATTACAAATAAAACAATAAGGTAAAAATACCAATAGTCGACACCTTAAGAAAAATATAATGGTAAATTTACAATTAATTTCATAAATTTGCCTCTATATTTTGTTATCAACTTCAGATAGAACACCTTAAGTGTGGTCTAGGTAAACATTCATATTAAAATGATAATTGTTTTAATTTTCTTTTTGGTAATTTTCTTTTTTACTTTATGCATTTGCTCCAAAGGTTGGCAGGTGCAGATTAGCTAGTTCTAGTAGTTGACATGATTTGCTCCAGTAGTTGACATCCTACTTAGTGAGGTTAATAAAACAAACAATTTCGGATTAATTTATTCATTTCACCCTTCAACACTAATTCAGGCTGCTCCAATTTTTTTAACACTTGACAAAAATGTATTTTGCAGATGTCCTTTTCAACTGCTATATTCTTTGTGAGTGTTATCAATGCATTTACAACAGTATTTTCAGAAGAAATTAATGTTTGAACAACACACACAAATTTAAACTCTGATGAATTTGGTTAAATTGGGTAAGAATATAATCGCCTTCCTATAATTCACTATAACTCATCTTATTGGCAATTAATACGTCCTCTTCATCTTCACTTTCTAATGTTTCTGACATGTCAGATTCTTGAAGAGAAAACTGAGTAGAAGAATCATTTAAAGAACTTGAAGACGAGAGACATCTTTTCTTTGTAGTTGTAGCCTTTTTGGTCTTTTGCTTAGATTCTGCCTTTTTTGTTCCATATTTCTTTTTTTCTCTTCGCTAGCTAATTTCCGTTCTTCCTTTTGTCTTTCCATCTCCTTTTTGGTATTTAATTTTTTATTAAAATATTCCAACATTTGTGGAGCAGTAGTAGCAATGGCTGGTAATGTTTCTTTTCTTTTTTTCTTAACTTCAATTGGGTCATCTTCCCTCCAAAACAAAACCCTTTTAAAAAGGGAAGGAATACTTTCTTTATGATCTGTAAATCTCTTCACTAAATGGTTAGTTTTTGAGATAGTGCTCATATTTAAAGTTTTAGTTTCTGCACTAGGCTCTCCATTAACCTTAACTGCCTTTGAATCCCAAGGAACCAAGCCACATTTTTTTAATTCGTTTTTTATTGTTAAATCTTTAATATGAGGAAGAAGTTCTTTTAATACTGTTGCAAAATTGTACTTATTAGGAGGCTCTCCATGTTGAATTTTCCAATCTGCAACGTTCTGTCTCCAAATGGTTTTTAAGATATGAAATACATCCATAGGCTGCATAATGTGTGTAGCATTTGGATATAATGCTATTAATTCAATATTTTTGTCAATACAAAATTGACTAAGTTGTAAGGATAGGTGGGAAACATGTCCATCTAAGAACATCACAACTAGTCTGGAAATACCTTCCTTTTCAAGCCAGGGTACGAAAATATTAGCAATGTATTCAAAGAATAGCTCTTGAGTCATCCACCCTTTTTTAGACTTTCTTTCCTATTGCCCAGTCAGAAGGAAAGTTTTCAGCTATACCTTGTGGTATCCTGGTGTACCTGTAGACTACTAGTGGAGGTGCAAGTTTTCAATTTGCATTGGCTGTAATTAAAGTTGTTTTTCATCATTACCAGCAGCATTATAAACAGTTTTACATCCTTTGGGAGCCAGAACTTTGTCCAGTTTTGGATTTAAAAAGAATGCTGTTTCATCGTAGTTAAACACACAATTTGGATTTTTTATGACATTTTCTATTTTCTTCTCCTTTAAATATTTTGCAATTTACTCAAACCATTGATTGATACTTTCTTGTGTAACAGCTCTTCTTTGAGAAGTTAAATTTTGACCAGTTCGAAATGTAATATCTTGGTGGCGTTTTAAAAAAAGGCTTTACCATTTTTTCCGGGTGCAGTGCATTTATCATTCTGATAGTTTAAAAATAGTACTGTTGGACTGATGTATTTTTTAAATATTTCTTAAAAAATTTCGGTAATTAAAAATTTTCGATAAGTTTTTGTCTTGGTTTTGGAAAAATTTACTCGGTCTTGTAAATCACTAATTTTCATGCATTGCATCTCATTAGCCGGACAAGCTTCCATTATGCCTATTATTAAAGACTAAGAAATAAATACCTTATTGTAATATATGAAGAAAAACCTTAATCAATAGACTTTTATCGTCTGATGCTTACTAAAAAAGTTGATCCAAGGTCTTGTATATCTTTAATTTTCATGAAATACATCTCATTAGCCCGACACGCACCCGTTTTTATCCGTTATTATTAAAGGAGTACGTCAAAATTTTACCCTCAACATTTCTGGGCTGTTTTCAATAAGGGCGTTCAATTATTTAAAAAATAAAACATTTTACAGATTTAATTTTTTTGTTGTCACTATTCATTGCCTATTTTTTGTTTTTTCGATTTTTTGATTTTTCGATTTTTCTAATTTAATTTTTTGATTTGTCGAATATTCGATTTTTGATTTTTCAATTTTTCTAGTTTAATTTTTGGATTTTTCGATTTTTTTTTTGTTTAATTTTTCGATTTTTGGAATTTTTGATTTTTTCATTTTTCGATTTTTGGATTTTTTTATTTTTCGATTTTCGTTAGTGGGTCGTAGAAAAAATATACTGTACAACTCGAGTAGATTGTCCATATCCACTCTTGTTACACAAACTACTAATTTTCTACACCCTCATGGATATTAGCTTATCTACGCACAGACTACAAAACGAAAAAGTATGCTATTGCGTTCAACTGAACGAATGTATTTTATATCCATTCTAGGTAGTGAGAACACTGCAAAATAGTTTGTGCAACAAGAGTGGATATGATGGCCATATCGCACGAAGACGAAATTTGAGAACGACGCCGTAGGCGGAGTGCTCAATCGTCTGAGTGCGATGTGGAGAATCCACTTGAGTGGTACATTATATTTTTTCTACGACCCACTAACGAAAATTTATAAATAAAAAAAATATTTTAGGTTATTAAGACAAAATAACTAATTTTAAAATAATTTATGACTTAATAATTTTTAAAATAAACTAAACGAAAAAGAAAAAAGTTCATTTAATTTTTCCCCATCCGAGAATCGAACTCCAGTCTTCCGTGTGGAAGGCAAGAACGCTAACCACAGAACCACATATTCTTTTATTTTGCATGCTTTAGTACTCGTAATTAAATTGACTTCATATAGTTTTATTTAAATTAACAAATTATTTATAATTATTATAGACGAAATAAAAACAGAAATGTTATTATTTATCGATTCTACACAAGAATAACCTATTTTAATGTATGTTTAATCTCAATAACTAAAAAATATACTGACAATTAGTTTGACAGAATTGTCACTTATTTAAAATTTTAAAAATAATAGCAATCGGTTGATCAAAATATGAACGTTGATTGGTGGGTTTCATTTTTTGCAGTGTTCTCACTACCTAAAATGGATATGAAATATATTCGTTCAGTTGAAGGCAATACCATACTTTTTCGTTTTGTAATCTGTGCGTAGATAAGCTAATATCCATGTAGGTATAGAAAAAATACATTACAATGAAATAATTAATATACAAAAAAAATGTTTGAAATTACCATCGTCTGCCTCATTTTAAAATATTTTATTTTTTTCAAACACTGTATCCAGGGTTACCAGGTTTTTGAAAGAGATGACGGACAGACAGGGGATTTTAGGGGAAATAGGGGGAAGTAAAAACAACTCGGTCTATTTTTAATCTTTTAATCAAAATTACTTATTTTGCAAGAAATCCTTACCTAATTTTGGTAAAGATACACTGAGGTGATTTTACAAATAATAAGGTGAAAATGTAAAGTTAGAAAAGCGAGAAATCGTAAATCGAAATCCAAAGTCAGAAAACATTTTCACCTTATTATTTGAAACACCTCAGTCTATCTTTACCAAAAAATAGGTACGGATTTTTTACAAAATAAGTAATTTTGATTAAAAAAATGATAATAGACAGTAGTTTTTACTTCCCCCTATTTCCCCTAAAATTCCCTGTCTGTCCGTCATCTCTTTCAAAAACCTGGTAACCCTGACTGTATCTTTGTAAAGCAACATTTTAGATATGCAAACAAATTACAGTTACTGATTTCAGAACAAAATATCTATCTTATACTGTTTTACATCTAGATGTAGTATTGTCCATTGTCACTGATTTTTTAAATTTGAAGTGATATACTGTATTAGGGTGTGATGTGTGCTCTGAAATATAAATATTACTTTTATATGGTTTTAAAAGATTAACACTTCCTAAACTGGAAACTATTGAAATAAAATATCACTAATAATTAACAACTTTTTGCCTCTTGCAATGGGAGCTTGGGAACCTGTAAAATATTTGAAAAGTCATTAGTATTACCAGCCAGGTTAGTAATATCGTTTTTTATTTAATATGTGGTTATTATTGATTTTGGAAATATTCGCCATAGGTCGAACCGGCTATTTTTTTAAACCATTTCAGACCCTCTGAAACAAATTTCAAAAT